CGACCAGAAACATGGCTTTAGGCAGTCATTCAGAACAGATATTCAGGTTTCAAATAATAGTCTCCCTTTATACTACTGTGAAAATTTTAAGTAGAAATTGCCTGTTCTTAGTCTAAATAAATTCTGATTAAAATTATTTCTGGATTGCCTAACATAAGGCAGCACATTATTCTAAAATTCAAATGAGAAAGAAGACAAAAAATTAACAAAATAATGTAATAAGTAACTACAGTTAAAATAACAGTGAAATGCCATAATTAGGTATTTCTTTATATCAGTTAAAGGCTTTGCTTGATTCTGTCTTATACCATTTAAGTGGTGCTATTTGCTACCAGCCCAGGAAATGGGACTCAAGAGAGGCGCTGCCAAACTTTTCTCTTGCTGTTCTGTACGTGGGGTTGACGTTGACAGAGCAAATGATTAAAATAAGCCTTTGATTTTCATTGCATCCCTTTCATGAAAAAGACCTCTCTTCTTGAAGATATCTCTGAATTGATGCATCCATACCATTAGACATGTGACTTTTAGGGAGCCTACATTGAGGAAGAGGTTAAAGTGTCTAGAAGAGAGAGAGCAAGAAATAGAAATTTGTATGCCTTTGTATTTCTGATCTATTACTTTGTTTGTAGTGCTTTACATATTTTATGTTCAGGTCAGTAAGAAAGCACATTGTGCTGTCGAGAACTGCACAAAGAATGCTGACAACCATGAAAAATTTAGCATCTGAGATTAACAATGGAGGTGTAATCACCAGCAAAAACCTCAAAACTTCCTGAGTGAAAATTATGGACTGAATAAAACGAATTGAAATTACGAATTATTTTTGGTTTATGTATTGTTAACTGGAACAGGCTTTAATTACATAATTATTTTCTCAAGTATTGAGGAGATTCAGGTTGTTTAAATCTTGAATATTTATTGCTCTTTAAATTTTTATGATTGGCTTAAAGTATCTTATTTTTCTGGTCTTTTTTCCTCCCTCTCATTAGCTTTACAGAAAGGAGCAGTAAGCAAAATAGCAGAATTTCAATGTTTTGTTTTCTTTTCATGCTCAGTAACATTTTAGAACTTTTATGAAAAGAAGAATGGAAAAGAGTTTAAAGAATAGAAAGACCCATTCATTTGAATTGAGTAATAAATTGAGCAATACCAGAATGCAGTTCAGTACAAGAAAAAGCCTAATGCTGAAGATTGCCCTTGAAAATGTGAAATGTCCTATGAAATCATCATTTCTGATGAAGAATCCCACTTTGAATGCTGCACATACAAGCCCATATATGCAGCAGTCAGTTTAGTCCACATACATGCTTGGAATATAACTGGAAGTCAAAGGTTTGGTGTGTAAGTAATAATAAAATAAATTGAAAAATAAACTGAAGAACGATAATCTAAACAAGAATACAAAAGTGAGGAACTCTCTGAAATAAAAAGCATATGCAGGATGCGGCTTCTCTTATATTTGTGGACATTTCTATCTTTCAAGAAAGGAGTGGAAGAGTCAATGTTGAAATAAATCATTTTGGAGCATATCAAATAGCAACAGCAACAAAAGTACATAAAAACAAAACTATTGAAGAATGTGGAACACTCCTAGTTGTGCTAGGGATGATTAATTTAGGTACAGATTGTACTTTATTCACGTGTTATACATCAGTACTTTATACAAGGCAGTACAAGTGAGATTTTGAAAGTTCAGAAGCTGGTGATAGGCAGATTATAGCAGCAGATGTCAGGTAACATGCTTTTCTGTCATTGGAAGTACTATTGACAGCAGTTTTCCTTATCTTACAAGAAGTTGGAGCACTCTCAAGGATCTCAAGGAACATTACTGACTCAAATTTTGGGGTTGCTGGTAGATTTGTTTCCCTCAAATTAGCTGTAGTGGTTCAGTGAACCTTGCCCTAATTACTTTTACTATATTTTGGCATGAAGATTATCTCTGCCATATTTTAGAATCATTACTGGTCATAGGACACCTCCCAGCTTACATCAGCAGAAAAGGAAATCGTGTCTTTGGCAGCATTTCGGCAGAAGAACGTTCCCTCTAGGCAAGATATTAAAATGCTGCATTTTAAAAGTGTGATTTTCATTACTGTTGTATTTCATTAAAAACATAATATATAATACAATAATTTATATTTCATATAAACTATAATATATTTTTCATTAAGATTCATTAATAATCATTAAGGTTGGAAAAGACCTCTACAATCATCTAGTCCAACCGTTGACCCATCCCCACCATGCCCACCTTCTTGAACCCCTCCAGTCACGGTAGCTCCACCACTTCCCTTGGGAGCCTGTTCCAGAGCCTGACCATTCTTTTTTTTCTCCAAATATGACAATTTTTGGAGAAGTGCATACCTTGCCCCCCCCCAAATCCAAATTTTATTTCGTATTTAGTCTTTATTCATAACTACATCTGTGCTCAACATTCAAATTTTGCTTAGATTTTTTCAGTATCTCGTGTATTAGAACTAGCTATGATTGCAGCACCAATGGTTGGAATTAACAGTGTGTGCTTCTTGTGACCTTTCGTAATTCTTTGATGGATTTGGGAGAAATTTTATGAAACTGCAGATATGGTATAAGGCATTTTTCTCGGATCAAAGATAAATTGCTTTGTAATAAATTGTAATTTGAATTAGCTGGCTACACTCTTCAGTTGAAATACAATTTACTTTAAGATATATACTTAATTGTAATGAAGATTCTTGCCTTGCCAGCTACTTTTGATATTGATTTTTAAGCTGAGATTAGGTATGTGATACAATAACAGACTTAGAGGGTGGCCTGGGAGCTACATATATCAGGTTATTGATGCTGACTGTCTCTCACATTTGTTCTAAAGAAGCATTAAACACACTGGTGTTTTTAGCATTTAAAAAGTGGTGTGGTTTCCTACTCAGTAAAATAGAGAAAATCAAATTTTGTACTTATTTATCAGAAAAAAATAAGTATTTTTGATCCGCATTGTTTGTCTTACGTCAAAGAATTTTTCTCTGGATAACGCATACTGAATGCAATGCTCGGTAGAAATGAAAAATATATTCCTACAATAGATTCCGTAAGAGGGGAAAAAGCCTTAATTAAAGAAAACACTTGTCTTATTGGGCTACAAAATATTGCTTCTCAAGCATAGTGTGTACAATCAATAGTGTATCTAAGATTGTATTAATTAGAACTTTGGCTGCAGAAGATCCGTCAAAAGAGCCAGAGATGCATATAGCCTGTTGGGAGGGCCTCCTTGTTTGCCCCAGGTCCTGGGAATCACTTCAGTTTGTCTTGCCACTGCTACAGAAATGCTTCCATACTCTCAGGTTCCCTTAGTGAGGGCAGCTGGAGACAGGATGGTTCACTCAAGAATCTGCTGCAGAGGGACTATTGGCATTGATTGAGCACGTGTTCTGCTGCAGCAGTAACAGCAGTGGCACTTTATTTAGATTTTGCACTATTAGCAGCTATCAAATAGTGCCAGGTTATCCTGACCATAATATTAGGCGTTATATGAAGTAAAAAAAATCTCATCATCGCTCTTTCTTTGGTTGTAAATTCAGAATATTTTATCCCCTGTTGTGTCTTCCACCTATGTGATACCAAATTATAGTTCCACAGAGAACTAAGTAGAAGGACAGGCATGTATGGATTGGGATCTCATAGTGAATCAGTGGCAGAGCTGGGGATTTAAAGTAATCTAATGTCTGCTACTTCTGTAGCTCATACATAGGAAACCCATTACAGAAAACTAATTATGGCAATTTGAATATTAAGTGGCATTATGGCAGTAAACTACTCCAAGGGAAATGTGTTATTTAGAAAGAAGTTGACAACCTCATGTATCACAAAACCTAACATATCATGATGGAATGAATAATGTAAGGCAGTGAATTATAACAGGCTGTCTTACAACTGCAACAGAATTGCAACTGCTATTATTATTTACATTGTCCTTTATATATATGTTGAATGCAAAGTTTTTGCCACTGTATGCAGAATTGTGAGCTAATTAATTTTTATGTTGAAGGAAATTTGGCCATGTCTCAACACTATGTAAGAGGTTGAAGAGAGTTAGTAATGGGACTGATATATCATTTTCTTTCACAAATCGGTATTCAGCAAGATACAGCCCTTTAACAAATCATTCAGAAAAATTCCCAGTGTTCCCTGCAACATTTTATTTCTCCACTGAAAGATTTCAGGGGAAAAGAAACCTTGCATTTATTTCTTATAGTCAAGAACTTAAGAAATGTATAGGAACAAACTGTGATGTTAACAAAAGTTGTTTTTTTCCTTAATAATTTTTTAGAGAAAAATTTGGGCCAACTCTTTTCTAGAAGGAGTTCCTTTGCATTGAACGTTACATTCTTTTGTGTATGGTGAAAATGCAAATGTGAAATTTGAGCAAACAGACAACAAATGAAGTCATGTGAGGTCAGTTCCTAGAAAGCAACATTCACTACTAAGAGAGAGTGTGAAAGGTCTTCTGTCTTCTTTAAATATTGTTCTAAACTAGCTTAACTAGAAGTCACGCTAGAACTGATGGTAGGGACAGTAAAGAAAATAAATCTGTATTTAATAAATTCAATATGCAAGACCCAACTGAGCTGAAGAGGTTATTGTGGCCCCTCCATTCTATCACCATCAGGCTCTGTGGAAGGTTCAGTCACTTAGGGCATATAGCATTTGTGTAGTTCATTGATATTCTTTGTATCACTATTGTTTTTCCAAAAACTTGTCTACTGCCCAAGTTTGCTCTTCCTCCAAGTTTGACTGGGACCTCCCTTCAACTGCTTTCAGTTTTTAGTTTGTTGCAGCATGCGTGTAAGGGTGAAGGTTTGTAACAAACAACAGGAATTTGTAGCTTGTGAGAAACACAATTGATACTCCTGATTTCCAGTGAATATTGTATAGGAAAGATAAAATAGTCACTACCACCAGAACTGGTTTGTAATTATTGAGCTAAACTTAAATTTAAGCATCTACTAACATGAGACTCTTACCTTAAACATTCTGGATTGGTCTGAGGTTTTTCAGTCACTTGGACTTTTTCTGCTTCTAAATCTTTCATCGTTCCTTCAGCCTCCTTGATTAATTTCTCAAGGTCTAAAAAAATAATAATGATCTTATAAATATATATTAATCATCCATATTCAAAGAGGGTCTGCATTCTTTAAATTTAGCTAACACTTTTTGCTGTTAAACTGGAGAGAAAAGTCATCTGAATAAAGAACATGCATTATTTTAGTACTGTAATTGATATACTCATTACAATCTTTTATAAAATCTTGTTCCTTTTCCCACACAATCTGTGACCATATGCATAGTCTATCTTTCCTAACTCATTTACTATGATGTTATTTACATGTTTGTAAAATAATCACCCTATTGGCTATCAGCCCCATTGAGACAGAACTTTTCTTCTCTCTGCACCTTTTTACTTGTTTATTTTATAGGTGCTTTTGTTTATTCAACACATTTTCCCCATCCTTGCATGTAGACTCCTTTTTTGTGCATTGCCTTTCATATAATAATGCACAAATATCAATAGAAAACAACTGTGGACTTTACAAATCAGAGATGTATCACCTCAGCCACATCTGTCTCTATCAGCCTAAGTCATGTTGCTTGTTAAACATTTTCATTTTAGTAACATTCTTTAATTACAAGTTAATGGTATTTAAACAAGACTTACGTTGATTTTAAGGTCTCTGAAACACCCTGAAACATTTAATTCTCCAGTTAAGTAAATATTTTACTAGCAGAAGTAGAATGTTATTTTTCATATTTATAGGTTATGATTCAGCAAAACTGTACATCTTGGTATCAGAGACATTCAGCACAAATCTTAATGAAGTCCACTATATTTGTTATACTCATCCTAAAATGATTTATTGCATAATGTAAAATATATAAAATCTTATTTCTATGACTTCTTACTGAGAAAAATAACTTGACAGAAAAGATTTTTCAGAATCGTTTGTCAAGGCAGAAATAATTATCATAACAACTGATTATAAAGCACACCTTTGAGTTCACTTTTGAAAGTAAATAATTCCTGCTTTAATTCATTCTTCTGCAGCTGGAGTGCATTTAAATGAACATTCTCATGTTCCATTGTCTCCATTTCTAAGGAAATAAACAATTATATTTTAAATTTAAACGCATTGTAGTTTAAGTCTTCGTGATATAATTTTAAATATTCCTGACTACTTTTACCCATCTTTTCATTTGATGACAAAGAACCATAAATATAACCAAAAGTAGTTGACTTAAAAGCAGTTCACTGGAAATCATATAATTAATCTTATAATTAATCATATAATTAATTCCTGATAATGAAAATAAATTATTTTAATGTTCCTAAGATGTTTGACAAATTCAGTTTGTTGGGTATGCAAATAATTGCAAATATTTTGCTTTACAGTTACTTTAGTGATATAATGACTTTTCTTCATCCATAGAAATCTTTAAACATTTGAAGACAGCCATCTTTCATAACTCTTCCTCCAGAGGTTAAATAATTCCAATTCATTCAGCTTTTTCTTTCTCCTGTCCTCCAGATCTCTGATCATTCCCACTGTTCCCATGAGGACTGTGTCTAGCAAGTGCACGCTTTTTCTTGAAATGCAACATCCATCTTAGCACCAGTTAAGAATTTAACTGCCCTACATACAATGAAGGATTATTTTGCGTATCTTAGAAGTTAGAATTATGTTTATATGTCTTAGTACGGTGCTGGTATTCTGATGTTGACTCATATTCAGCTTGTGATCTGTGATGACTCCTATGTCCTTGCTGAAGGATTGCTTCTCTGTCTAACACTCATTTCTGGGAAACCTCATATTCTTAACACAAATAAACATGGTTGGAAATGTCTGAAAAGATTGAAGAGTAGAACAGGCTTTAATAATCTTTATATAATATGGTATGCCAGGCCATTCTTTTTCAGTTTTGTGTTAAGAGGTGATTTCAGACAGCAGGAGAATGGGGTGGTTAAAATTATTGCTTAGCAGAGTTATACTTAATTGATTTGCATTCTCCAGTAACATAATTTAATATAAGATTTACCATTTTTTAACACAGCAGCTTCATTCTCTAAATCGTTTATTTCAGTCTTGACTTTTTTTTTAATCAGAAGTTCTCTATTGCTTGTTAGTCCATACTCATCATTAAACTCTGTTACTTCCCTAGTAAAATTATCTTCCTCTTCAGCCATTTTTCTCTTTGCATCTGTCTGAAACGACAAATTGAATGCTTAAGTGGAAAAAATGAAGGCTTTGTTAGGCTAGCAGACAGAAACATACTTTTGCTTATGCTTAAAATTTATATATGTTATGTATTCACTTTTCCTGACTTGGGAGAACATGAATATGGCCTACAGCTCTACCATTTTGTCTGCTGTTTTAACCTTTTCTCCTTATAGAGTGAAGGATATGTTCTTCTTTAAAAAAAAAAAAAAAAAAAAAAAAAAAAAAAAAATTGAAATTCACTAAGTCAAATTATATACTTGTGTAATTGGTTTTAAGTGCAACTCATTATTGAAATTGCTGCTAAGTTCTATTTAAAGTCTGTAGCACATTGTGGCCACTGTTTTTTAGTCTGCTGTTAAATAAATTTGTAGTTTAAACCTGTGCAGACTTGCTTTATTTCCTTTGATAACTACTAAGTCAGCTATGGTTGATAACGAGTCGTTTCATTCTCTGGAAAAAATAATCCTAAAGACAAGGGTAATAGTAAAGTCCTTTTAAAAATGCTGACTAAATTAAATTAGAAGAAACAGCTTTATATACAGGAAGAAAGAAACAATTATCCACATTTCAAATCTTCACCATTAAAATTAATCAAATTTCACATTTCATCAGAGGATACTTTCTTCAGAGGAACTTTTCTATGATATTTATGCTACTTCTTATGCTTTCTTCCTATATTTAAGATAGGGAATATTTTGAATGTTGAAGTAATATTACTTAATTAAAGTAAGGACTTAATGGTAATACTGGCGATTCATACTACATGTTGAAAATTCAGATCTGCTGATTTGAGATATGAATACATATGCAGAGAAGACTACTCTTGTGTGACCTTACTTAAAGACTCAGGGATACACCAAGCAAAAAGAGGACGGCAATATTCAGGTTAGCACAGCAGTGAACTGAAAATGTTGTTGCCTGTATACGTTGCAATAACTACTTTTCAAAAGGGAGCTGTGTCTTTGGTTTAAAAGAGAAAATGTGGAATGCCAGGATTCCTGAAATGTGGTGTTGACTTTCCTGAGATTTTCCTCTGATACTTCTCAGTATATTTTACAGTGGTTGAGACAGTCCAACTGAAGGTGAGATTTTTCTGCTTTTCTTTTAGAAAGGAAATGCATCATGATTGGAACTCAATAGCAGACATTAGAAACTGAAATTAAGAATGTGAAATCAGCTTTGTAGATAAACCTTAGATTATTAAAATGAGAATTAAATTTAAAATTCAAAGCAATAATCTAACTACATTTACATTTTTAAGTATGCTGGTGTAAAAAGAAAAACTGATTATTCAGATTTATAATATTTTTTCTGCATAAACTTGTGCAGTGCAAATGAACTACTTGAATACAATAGCTGGAAACTTACTAAGTTTTTGAGAAGAATGCTTTTCTGGTTTATAAGTTCAGCCTTCTGTTTCTCTAAGCTGTCTTCACGTTTCTTCAAAATTTCTAAGAAGAACATTTTTTCAGACAGCTGTTGAACCTTCCAAAAGAAAACAAAAAGTTATGAAAAAAGGTTATTGGTTTTTTATTTCATTTATTTTTATATTGGACATAAGGATCTTTGTCTGGTTAAAACACAGCTGGCATAGCTGCTACTGCTTCTTGACTAGAAAAAGCATAGCAGCTCTTCCCCTAACTGTAATTTGGGAAAGTATCCTCTATTTCAGAGACAAATTTGTTGCTGATCAGTCTATCTGAAATGGCATTTTTAAACTATGCAGTTTATATCAAATAATCTCAGGTTAAAAACAGGAAAGATATTGATCGCACAAAATCTTTTATCCAACCTTGGCACAATGGCCTACGTCTCACTGCATACAGGTCGTCTCTTATCAAACCAGACAACATCAGAGGGATAGAGGTCCAACAGCATTGCTCTGACTGAGGTTATCTGAATGGCTGCATATGTGATTAGCTCTTCAATGCTAGTATTGCATAGGAGAAAGAATGAGAAATTCTTAGCCAAAGAAATGTGACAGTAAAACTACTGATAGAATAAAGGCTGTAAGCTCGCCCAGAGCTCACACTGATTTTGAATATGGTCTTAAACACATTTTTATGCATTGTAATGTATAGTAGTAGTTTATCTGATAGTATATATAGTATTTAGTATATAGTAGTTTATCTGATAGAAAAATACGCCTTTCAATCACTGCATTTTCAGAATTTGCTGAAGAATTCCTCTCAACTTTCCATTGCATCTTCTGCATCATTATCTAACCAAAGTTGATGTCAAATGAGAAAATATAACAGCAGATAAATGGGGAACAGCTAAGTGTTGAAAAGTCTTAGAGGATGAGAATCATTCATTTGACGTACTGGAGAAAAGGTGTTCAAAAAATGACTCAGACTGTGATACTCAGAACAATTAGGGGAAGGAAAGTTAGCTGCAGAACTGCTAGCAGGTCTTAGAGGCACAGAGTATCAGGAAGTAAAATAACTGGTCAAGGTGTTACATACGTTTGCGCATGCAGCAACAGAAAAACCAAATGGTAGTGATATTAAAGAGGTGAAAATAAGAAGATTTGAAAAATAATACAAGGTGATTTTGGACAGAGCACAGAGGAAGTGCATCTGATATCAAAAGGAGGAGGACAGTGGAATCAAATGTGCTAAGACTGGAGGGAGACAGACAGGAAAGGACCAGACTTCCTCATTCCTGATATGTCTGGCATGCTAAGCATCAAGGAGGTGCTTGCCTCAGCAATATTTGTGTTGCATACTAATTCTAAGAGAGTAGATGGTCTTATACCTCTGTAATTATATTACCGAACATAACTAACTGCAGTGTAGGTTCTCCATCTGCAAGATGCCTACTTAATCTATGCATTTGCAATAGATTTTTTTGAAGAAATCATTGAGGCATGAAAGGCAAAATGCTATAATTCAGGTTCTAATTACATGCTACCTGATTTTACTGAACAGAGAAAATAAATAGCATTTCCTGAGAACCTTTGATTGACCACGGGCAGTCTCTGTGAAATAGATGTCAAAACATGTTTGAACTCAGGCTCATCTGCTTGCTCAGGCATAAGCCCCTGTGCTTGGATATCAGTGCTTTTAAAGTGCAGTTATTTGGTGTGGGACAAATTAAACAGTGTTACTGAACAACATTATTTAATGCTATTTGAATTACATTAAATATTGTAGACACATGTAAACTTAATTCCTGTACTGAAAAATAAATTGCTTTTAATAATTTCAATATTTATGTAATCTTTAAGCCTAAATACAGTCTGATAGAAATACATTTTTCCATTCCACTTATTTTCTGTATCGTGTCCTATTTATAAATGAATCAATGTCAGAATAAATAGGCAAATAAAATATATTTTTGTGGATACCAGATAGAATATTAGGTGGCTAAGGCACTTAAGATTTAATTAGGAACAGTTCTTCAGCTCTTCCCATTAGTCATGTACAATAATAGCTCTACTCTTGGGATGCTCTATACCTTCCACATAAATGTTGATTGTAAATCACACTGCATCAATAACAAATTAGCAGTATAAACATAAAATAGTGTTCATGAATAAATGTAGGAGCAATACTACAAAAGGCTTTATCTAACAAACATCACTCAGATATAATGTGTTAGCTAAATAAGTGACTGTGTTAAAGGTCTTTCGTGGCATGCATACATGACCAACTGCTTGCAAGATTATAGTCTCATTTTACAACCAGTGAGTATTTGTTTATGAATTTCTTTATCTGATCCTGTCATAGTAATGTTTACGTGTGTATATATTTATATGTATAAATAAAATATCCCAAAAAAATTACAGAAGAATCTGTTTTTGGAAAGATAATAATCATACTCAAAACATCTATGTGAGGTAATCCCCAGAAGGTTCTTGAAGATGTTTACTTAAGTGCACAACAGTTCTAACTTCAAAGGAGATTCCATAAGCTTTCCTGTTGTGCATACACATTCCATCAGCACAGATACTTAAGCACACAGGGATGATAACTAGACTTCATTTTTGAGGCACAAGCAAATGGATTTTTAAATCATTTCTACTTACAAGTATTAATGGTGAAAGAGCTCTGCAAAACTGAATGTTAATCTAAACCTATGTCTGCAGTTTGGTTAAACAGAAATCAGAATAAAATGTTAAAAGTGTTGAATAGGTTTGGAAAGTTCCTCCTGTCTAGAGTGTCCCTAGCAAAACTCTAACACCTGGCACAATGCTGAACCCAGGCTCACAGGAAGATCTTTAGTATATGACTCAAAATCTTGTGAAGTAAATACAGTGAATGTTTCCACATATTCTCTGTGAAACAAATAAGGCCTTTAAGGAATAGCAGTGGGCAACACAGGAATGATTTCCAAACCTCTAATAAATGCATCCTTTAAATGAAAAAGTGCTATAAGAAGCTCCAAGAGCTGCTCACGCCATCCCCAAACAGCTCATCTGCTCCCTGCCCAGCTCTTTTCTGGAGAGCTGCATGGCTTTCTTGTACCTTTGTGCTGTCTCTGTGCTTCCAGGGTTTGGAAATGTTATCTGGGCACATTCCTACCTTGAAGTGAGCAAAGCAGTGAGCACACCCAGTCAGCCTGCAGGGTTGAATTTGTGAGGAAAGCCACAGACAGACCTTTGCACACAGGAAGCACATAGATTCGCAGGCAGTGATCATTACAGAAATGCAGACTGTACATTTTCTAAACATTGTCTATCTCAGTGGGTGAAGCGTATGCCTTGAAAGTGTTCATGAATTTATTTCCAACAAGAATAATTCATGTGCTTGTACATGTAATGTATTTCTTATTTGTACTATAAACATTCCTACTTACCTTAGTTTCTAATTTTATTTTTGCAGTGTTCAGCTCTTCTTTTAGTTGGTTAGTTTTTTCATGATATTTGTTTATGTCAAATTTAACTGCAAAACAAGGAAAACCTGTAAGCAAGTTTGTGGTCAGTTTGTAAACATTCTGTTCTTACAGAGCAATGGCATTGGCAAGAAGTCACGGAACGTCTGCCTGAAAAGCTTTTCCAGCAAAACTCCCCTCTTGATTTTACAGTGGTGCCACTCCACTTTTGTTGGGATGCCCTGGAATATGGAGCGGCCATTTACAGCGCCCGACGCTGTGGGACATGCAAGATGGCGGCCATGGGGCTGACCTTGTTGGATGAGGCGCCTCTTCTCGCCCGCCTTCTTTTCTGTGAGCTCAATTTGTTGGAACAAAGTATCCAGGTTCATTTCTGACTTGTGGGCAGGTCCAGGTGTGTGAGGGCTCACTGTTCCGTGCAGGGCTGGCTGCTTGAAGCCAGAGGATACACTGAGGGGAGGGCAGCCCTCCCAACCCACAGCCCTTCCCTCAGGGCTCTGCCCCAAGTGCTGCCAGGCCTTGGCTCTGCTCTCCAGCCTCAGCCTCCCCACTGGTGGCTGCTCCAAGGCTTTGGGGAGAAACCACACCGTGCAGGGAAGCCACCTGGAAAGATAACCACAGACTGTGAGAAGTGAGGGCTCAGGGTGAAACCTCAGGATAGAGAAGCATGAAGAACTGGGTCAGGAAGAGCACAATGGCACAGCTGTGCTGGGGGAGCCCACCCAGGAAACACACAAATGGAAATGAGCTGGCAGAGGAGCAGTAGAGTAGGGGCAGGAGAAGGATGTCTGGGGAGTCAAAAGGCCTCTGACCGTCTGAATCTTGTCAAACTTGTGTGCGTTTCTGAACCCTTGATTCTTGCTCAGGATTCGGGGATTTTTGATCAAACAGCTCTGACTTTATTTCTCTAGGGCCAAATGCTTTATACTGTTCTTGTGGTGTTCAAAAGCTGGGTTTTTTTTCTTCCTTCTATCTTCCTTTTCTGTGAAGTGTTCACCATCCATTTTTAATAACATAGCTGTTCAGATTTATTTGTCTTTTGAAGATTGATGCCTAACCTTAGCAGTTATGGAAGTAGGCTAAAATCTGCAATTGTCATACAATTCCCAAGAAAATGGGAAAACTGACTACATAAAAACAAAGTTAAAGTGATTAGGCTCAACTCAGCTGCATCACCGTTAATGGGAAATGACAGCACTTCTTTCCCAGTCGGGCTCTGTACACAAGGATCTGAACCCAGCCCGTTGTATGCTATTCTGGGGCAGCCTTGCAGATGAGATTACTGTGCTCTGAGCTTCTGCAGCTTTTTGATTTGTACATCACTGGATCGAATACCTGGAAATGTAAATAGCTGGTTGAGAATATAATTCATATTACAGGATTTGTTCTTACACCTTGAAAAAGACTAACTACATTCCCTGCAGGGCATACCTATGCGAAGTTGGCCTATTTGCTCTGAGGCAGAAAAAGCCTGGAGGAAAGGAACTTGATATCCTTCCAGCATTTTCCATGTTGTGAAAGATTAGAATTATTGACAGTCTGTCTTGTTAGAGTTTTCCTCAAAGGAGATACTGTCTTTAGAGTAGACTGCAGCAGAAAAAAAACAGAAATTAGGAAGCTCTTTGACTACAAGAAGCAAAGCAATGTACATGAGAGTACAAATGCCTTAGTGCTGTTGTAGGTTAGTAGAATGAAACTGATATTTCTGTACAGATGTTATGTTGTAGCATTTACTACTTAAAAAGCACCACATTATAGTGGTAGCATGCTATAAAATTGTGCTTTTAAAAAGAAGACATTGCCCTATGTAAGAAAGAAAATGTGGGTTCTGGTGAAATGTAAAAACCTGAGACTAACACATTATGTTGCAGGAAATGCAATTATTTTTTAAAATGGAGCAAAGTGCAACTGAAGGAGAAGAGTTCACAAAAGTGAATTCAGAAAATGTTACAGAAATGAGGCTTCCTACCCAAAGGCCAAAGTAAAAGCAGATGAGTCAAATGGGAGCATTTGGTGATTGAGACAGTGATTTGTTACACAGGTCTGATGACTGAAAAAGTCATTTCACAAAATTCAAGAAAATGAACTGCTCTATCAGTGGATCAAGGAGAAAAGAAAATGAAAAGCATTCTTTGAAGTTTTTGAGACTTGACTGCTTTTGTATTTCAAACTGAAAAAGCTGCTCTAGGCTGGGATAGTGTTCAGTGTCACTTGTTAAAGAAACGACTGTTTTTTGTGAAGGGTGCTTCAATGTCTAATTGTGGCAAAGGAACTGCTCATCCTAGAAAGAAGAGTCTGGCTCCAACTATACTTCTCACTGTCTGAGAATGACCATTCAGCACCATTAACAGTTCTGTAAAAGATTCCTTCAGATACTGAAAAAAAAAAAAAAAAAAATCAAAGTGGGACCAGTCTTTGAAAAAAGACTTGATGATTTTTGACTCCTGCAGATATGTGCTTGATTTAACATTGTGAATAACTCATCAGTTCAGAGTCATATTAAGTGAACCATGCATGTACAAATGCTTCAGAATCAGGATAAGGGCCACTATTTTAAAGCTGTGTAATTTCCTAGCTTTTACAGAAATGGATGCAATGGTATGAACCTAAATGTTTCAGAATAAAAGTAAAATGTGAATTACCTTTGCTTGACTTCCACTTCTGCAGAGTATAAACCTTTTGTAAATCACTAGCTGTTAGAAAGGTGACTTTAATTTTGCTCTTCCGGTCATATCAGTACATCCTAATCTTAATCTATATCTGTATCTTAATCATGGTGCTGTAATCAGGTCATGCCTTTCTTGTGTACTTCAAAATTAGTAATTGCCCTTTGTAATCAGGCTTCTGTGCTAATAGTAAAGTTTCTTCTACGAGTTTCTTCTCTTGTTTGTGTAGGAAGAAAGAAAGAAAGATTTTGTGTGTAATTTCAGGTCAGTATAAAAATTTTATCAGTGTAATTTATTTCTAAATTTTACATGCTCAGATTATTTCAAAAATTGATTTTCTGAGAGCTGAAGAAGAAAGAGGCAAAACAGAGGCAGGTTACAGATTAGATGGTGCCCTATGGTCTTCGTATAAAAAAATACAGAGTGGAAATTAGAAATCACTGGATTGTAGTTACAAATCATTTTCCTCTTCTGTTCTTAACATTAGCAACATTAATTTTTAATGTTTCCATTTACAAATTACACTCTTTAATGTTGAACTGCCGTATTTACACCAAAATTTCTTTGCTGCCTACAACTTTTTGGTCTTCCTTTGCTCATGGTGACCTTTGTGTTTGTCATCTATTTACCTAGATATTTTTCTACTCTTCATGAAGGAATAAAGCCAAATTATTCTGTAGCATAAATCCACAATTATCATTTTGTGTTCAGGGCTGAAGACTGAGCTATCCTGTACTGGGAAACAGCATATATACATAACAAAGTGCACTAACCATGTGGAACGTGGTTGAGCTGCAGTGCTGACAGAGGGAGACCGCAAACAGTGAGTAACCCAGTAACCATTTGTATAAGTAAGCATAATAAATAGTCTACATTCAAAATTAATTTTATAATGTGCCCTTTAAAATCAAAGTTTTAGCCCTACTGTGTAAAATAATGTTGTTAAAAGACAGCAAGAAGTATAAAGTGGTAAAATGTAATAGACAGGTTTTAACACAAATCCCGAGCATATTTTTGTTCTCCCTTTCCTGCTGGTCACCCACTGCATGGCAGGGAAGGCTGCAGCTGTTCTGCTCCTTCCACAGCCTGGTTCAAACCCAGGCCCAGCAGGGTGTGGGGTGCACAGGGATAGCAGAACAAACACTTGATGATCTCTGCTTGAATATATTTGAGTTCCTAATAGTAATAAAAAGCAAAATGAAAAACTCAGCTATTTCTGAAATCCTGGAGCAGTGCAGCAAAGAAGAGGAATAATAAATACAGTAATAACCTACAACTAATGACCTATCTCAAATTTCCTGATGAACTCAGAATAAACACAGTCTAGTCTTTATCTCTGGAAGAGTAAGAGTGAAGGGCTAAACCACAGGCTGGAAGCTCTCCGCTTCTGCTTGACTTCTCAGTAAAGGACTCATGAATGCACACTTTGTTTCCTCCTCGTTACAGGGAGAAAATTAGAAAAATCCATACAATAAAAAATATGGAAAAATGTAGAAGTAATTCTTCAACAAATCATATGCATATTTCTCTGTGCTCAAAATTCCTACTTTTTTATCAGGTGACAAAATCGTGAATTAGGGAAAATTCATGTACATTTGTAATACATGAAAAAGCACATTAAGAAGTAACATTGTAATCCCTCTGACATGTCTGGTTGCAGTGGAGAACCCATTTCAGTAGGAATGTAAGCATTTTCCCAGCAGATGTTCTTTACAAGGAGAGAGCCTGCTATTTGCATTGTGATATCTCCATTTGAGTCTTACATCCAAGATTTTGTATAATTCCATCTGGAAAGGCTTCATGGGTCCCTTGAATTACAAAATGAAAGATTAGCCTTCTAAAATAAAAGTTTTCAGTTGTCTTTGGCTATAGTAGCACTGCACCTGTTGTACAGGTATCCACATTGTTCCTCTGCAGCATTTTGGAGTCTGGTTCAGTTGTCTGTTCTGCTGATAAACAATTATCTTGGAACTTTTTAACTTTGCTATTCTGTAGCATTTGTGTAGCATTTGGATAAGTGACAAATGAGGCTCATTTTGAAACATTTATCAGAGCTCTTACTTATCTTGGCATAATGGCAGTACCTTTGCTAATGGAGAAAGAACTTCTCAGATCTGGAGTGCACATCACAAGGCAAAATACTGCCTTAGATTTGCCTTTTCTTCATACATTTTCTTAGTTCTTTGTCTGGAAAACTGAACTTTGCTTTACATAAATACTACTTATCATTAAGCAGGCATCCAGGAGAAGTTACAACAGTGAAAAAAATCTTTTTAGAATTTAATTATTTGTGTCTTCCACATATAAAAAGATTAGCTTTTTAACTTTTATTAACAGGCATTATCCATTATGCTCTGAATTTCTATAAGAAGATGGGTGCCTTTAAATCTTCTTAATAAAGAGGTATTAAAGAAACTTGACATTTTGAGGACTCTGAGTACTTTCATGAAAGATATATAATATAATCTTGAACTGAAGTATGGTAAGCAATCTGTTGAAAATCCTATATGTTTGATCAATTAGGTATAGTGTGTTTCCTGTTACCATATAACACCAGCATGCTAGTTTATCTCTTCTTGTTGAGCACATTTTATTTTAAATATAGAAAAGTCTTAACTGAAACACAGAATGTAACTGATTATTTTACAGTTATTTCACAAAAATATATACCTATATTTTTTACATTTGAATCAACTCTCAGTAACTCATATACAATGCTGCTAAGTTATCAGATGAACAGCTGTCATTATTTCTTTACTCTTGCTATTTCAGGAGTCTTTAAACTATTTTTGTTGGTTCTTTAAGCTTTGTTTCTACTTGCTACTGCCAATGTAGGGAAGATAATATTTTTGATGACTAGAACTCATTATTATCTTTATTCATAACAGGAGAGGTATTTAGTGCAAGATTAGACAACTATTAAACCTTTATGGTATCCATTACAAGGCCAAATGAATTTGTCTGCATGCTATTAGATCTCTATGTTAATAATTTTCATAAGATTAATGTTATCATTCCATCTATCATGTTCCTGCTTATAAATATGGCAGTTTCCTTACACATTTGGCAAATGCAGATGGCATGAGTCAGGCAGCATAACGACCAA